GAAAGACCACGAAGCTCCTCACCAACAGGCAACTGCGAAGACAAAAGCGGGAAAAGTGAAAGAGGAGAAACCCCAATAGGAGGAGGCAAGACATGGCAGGAAGATATCCAGGAGAAACAAACAGGAAAAGAAGGGAGGCAGGAAGGAGTGAGACAGACATTAAAAGAGGGTTGAAGGAAGGGGTAGAAGAAGATCAGGGGAAGAGACCGGATGAACGCTGGAAAGTGATAGAATTAGAAGATCTCTGGACCAGGGAATTAGCCGCTTTCCATTACTAAAGAGGAAGGTGAGAGAAGAAGAAATCAACAGGTACCCAATAAGCCCCCGTACTGGGAGGAAAGTGAAGAATGGGAAAGGAGAAGGCTGGAAAGGGAGGCTAGAGAGAGAACAAGAGGGAGAGAAAGGGCAAGAAGATGGCTGGGGCTAGATCCTATGAGACCCAGATATATTAGAGAGAAGAAGCAAATGGGACAGTGTTTATGGTAACTACCCAGCTGTGATTTACCCTTAAAGGTCTGTTTGCAAGTATCCCTTTTAAGTATGAACAGGTTTTTTTTTAAAAAAAAAAACCTGGAAATTTAGGATGAATATTGGCTAATACCCTGTTTTCAGTTGTAGAATCTAACAACACACTAAGGTCATGTTCCCTTAGATCTCCAGCTTGTATTTGCAAAAGCTAGAGACTATTCTATTACAGTTAGTAAGACTTAAGCCTGTGTGTGAAGGTACTGGATGCCCCATTGCACAAGCCCAAGGTGCAACTACGTTGGGAATAGCCAGAATCTGTTTGATTCACCGTTTCTTTTGCAACTGTGTTTGGTTAAGGTGACCACACAAAGACCCCAGATTGTTTCAGTGCCAGTGTCGCACTGGCCCCTCAAACTGATGGGGTTCCATTCTTGCCTAAAGCCCTCCTTCCTTTGATGCTGCCTTTCTGCCAATCCCTGGCTCTCCTTTTGCATTTTGCCATCAAGCTACTGGGACTTTAAAGCAGTGGTTCTTAACCCTTTTGAAAGAAACGCCCCCTTGAGCCATTGAGGAAGTTATCATCACCCCCCCTCCCCACGGTGATGATATCTATCTTATTTATTTATTTATTTATTTATTTATTTACTTACTTACTTACTTACTTACTTACTTACTTACTTACTTACTTATTTATGACACTTAAATCCAATGACCCCTGAAAACAAAATTCAATTCCAAGAAAATGAAATGCCCCC